GTGATTGTCTCGACTCGATCGTGGTGATTGTGAGGGTTCTTGACCTTTCCCGGCGGAGCGCCAAAAGGTACTCTAGTAAATTGCTTGTGGATTGTGTGATCCTTATCTTGTGTTGATTGTGCGGCACCCTATTGAGGGTTTGGCGAGTGATGCCATGCCAATCAAGTGAACCTCCAAGTGAGTGAATCGCCACAACGAGAACTAGCTTGCTTGGCAAGCAAGTGAACCTCGGTAAAAATCATTGTGTTCATCATTTGATTCCGAGGTGATTGGTCTACATTGGTATTCATTATTGTGATTGATTGGTTCCTACCACTACACGGCGGTATAACTCTCTTGCTCACTCTTACATTACCGCAAACTAGTTATCAAGCTCTTTAGTGTAGCTAGTTGTGAGAGCTTGTTTGTTTGATTAGTGTTGCTCTTTAGTTAGTCTTTGAGAGCACACTAATTTTAGCTAAGTGTCATAGCTATTGTGTGGACATACACTATTCAAATAGAATTGTGGTAGGTGGCTTGCATTTTAGTAGGCTAGCGCAACACTAAACTTCACATAAAAAATTGTCTAACACATTTTGTTAAGTGTTGTTGTAGAATTTTATTAGGCTATTCACCCCCCTCTAGCCATTAGGACCTTTCAACAAGCACAATATAAATGAAGTAAATACAAGCTTGTGTAACGAGGATGCAAACCAACGGAAAGACAAGGATGATAAGGTGATTTTTATCCTGAGGTTCAAGTGCTTGCCAACACGCTAGTCCCCGTTGAGACAAGCTCCAAGGCTGCCGCCGGTCCTCTTGCTAGTGGTGACCCGCATGTCACACTCTCCCATGTGGAGTGCTTACCACAAGCTCTAGCACTTGACCCGGCCGGACCACTTGTCGCCCTTCGCGTCTCGCTCTACTAGAGTTGCTCTTCGTGGCTCCCGCGAGACGAGCACAATGCCCCTCACAAAAGCTCTTCTCCGGAGCACCGCACAAGCTTCTTGCGGGCTTCGACGGAGACCACCACCAAGCCATCTAGGAGGTGACAACCTCCAAGAGTAACAAGCACCACCGGCTTGCAAGACGACCACCTAGTGCCACTCGATGCAACCTCACGATGCAATCGTACTAGAATCGCTCTCTCACACAATCGGATGATCACTATCAAGCATATGTGAGATGGAGGGCTCCAAAGCACTCTTAAGCATAGACACAAAGTCCCCCAAGGTGCTCTACCTATGCCATGGCCGAGACCCCTTCTATTTATAGCCCCACGGGCTAAACTAGCCGTTACCCCTTCACTGGGGCAAAACTCAGGGTGACCGGAAGCGCCGGTCGGATCGACCGGACGCACCCGGCCAGCGTCCGGTCAACAGATGGCTGCCACATCATCCCTGGCTTCAAATGCTGAGCGCTCGATCTCAACGGTTAAGTTACGGCCGGATGCACCATGAGGATGATCGGGCGCTGCTACGCCTGAGTCCGGTTGTTTCTAGAGAGCTCCCTGAGCCTCTGTTTTGCGATCGGACGCACCACAAGGATGACCGAACACTGCTACACCTAAGTTCGGTCATTTCCAGAGAGCTCCCTGAGCCTCTGTTTTGCGATCGGACGCGTCCGCTCCTGTACGACTGAACGCACACCAGCCAGAGTCCGATCATTTCCAGAGAGGTCCCCGAGCCTCTGAAAAGCGATCGGACACGTCCGGTCCACCATGACCGGACGCAGACCAGCGTTCGATCAGCTCTACGCCCGCGCGCCAACTCTAGCGTCGCCTACGTCATCATACGTCACACGCGACCGGGCGCATGCCCTGCGCGTCTGGTCACTCTTACCGTGCAGCGTCCGATCAGTTGACCAAGACCGTGCCCAACTGCTGCCATTGACCGGACACGCCGGTCCTGTCGAGGCCAGCGTCCGGTCACATTACCGAAACCGCGCCTCCTCAGGAACACATGACCGGACTCGCTAGCCAGCGTCCGATCGCTGCGCTGCGTAGAGTCCGGTCACTTTCAGTGACCTATTTCACCTCCTTTTCTTTACCGAGTTGATCCACATCATCACATATGTCATGTCTCAATGTCATGTCTCATGTGCAATGAGCTCCTTCATCATCACATATGTGAGCTTTGCAACATCTCCGAGCCATTTCTATCTTCATGGCATATGTTGCTCACACACATGTACCTGTGGACTAATCTCCTGTGTATCTCACATAAACACAATTAGTCCACCTAGGTTGTCACTCAATTACAAAAACCACACAAGGACCTTTCAGCCGCCGTCGCCTTGGGTTGCGCCGCCCTTCCCTGTCCGCTCGTCGGTGACGTTCGTGGCGCCGCTCCCGCTACTCGGTTGGTAGCTAGCCCTCTCCCCGTCATCTTCCTCGGAGGCGACCGCATCTCTCCATTCGGTGGAGTCCGGCTCCGTTCGTGCTCCCCGTCGCCCTTTCCTCTGCTCCGACCTTTCTTCTGCTCCGACTAAAGGTCTCAAGCTGGTGCTGGTTCAACCATCCCTTGTCCAAGATCTATTCAGGTACTTGTCTTTACCGATGTGTGGATTGTGGGTTTGATTTGTATTGCAAATGGACGAATTATATATGCATGGCATGGTTAGGGACATAGTACGTGCAGATGCTGAATGCTTGTGTTTTACATATTTATTAGTTCGTGGAGATTTTAAATGGACAAGTCAGCAAAAGTTCAGGCAAAATGGGATGCTTTTGCTGCCAAGGCCTTCAACGACATTTGTGTGGAAGAAGTTCTTGCCCACGGTTGGCCTGGACATTGCTTGAATAGTTTGGGCTATACAAAAAATTAGTACCATAACTGTCTTTAGCTTGTATTCAGTGAACAAATGAGGTGTCATCAGCCTCAAGGGCATACAGGTCATTTTACATTTAGGACCGACAATCTATGGGCAATAATCAGGATTGCCAAACACTCTCAATTGTTTATACAGCGGATTCTTTAGATCGTAGCTTATCAGAAAATCCTAAACAGATTAAAATCGATTCTCACATAAGCGTTCCCAAACAGGGCCTTCGTTGTTTCCATCATTGTCCTCCAATGGCTGTGACAAATTAAACCTCAAACAAACTTCAAGAAACAGCACATAAGAAAAACAAAAGCGTCAAGTAAAATATATAGACTCCTTTTCTTTTTGCGAAAAGTAAAATGGAATCACTATTCAAGAACCCAAAAGGTCGAAGATTTTGGACTCGAGAAGACGGGGGAGGCATAATCAGGACTCAGGAGAGCAGGAGACATGTTCATTGAGAGCACTGAGTTGAGGAGGTCTTCATATACCTGTTCGCTTGTCTGAATTCTGGAGGAATCTGGATGGTTTGGAGGAATGCTGAAGGAATTTGTAAGAGAAAAACACTGTTCCGGATGAAAAAGTAAGTGGATTAAGCCAGATTTAAGGGCATATGAACGGGGTACGGGAGGCCAAGGCATTCTCGCATGGGAGGCCAAGGCGCTGGGGTGGTGTAGATGTGCTCACTGTACTCGTTCAGAATTCAGATCCAGCTTTGCAAAGAGTAAGCATGGAGAACAGGCCATCACAGTGATGATTGCTAAAGTTCACGACATTAGCATATAGTACAACCAATTTGGTACTAGTTTAGTGACTAATGAGGTGCCATATCTCAACTGCCCACCTTTGATGATCAGCTCGAGCTGTTAATCCAGACTAATTTACTGCAACGTGCCCTTTGGAACGATGCTCAGCTTCACCTACTCCAGTTGATTTTAGTACGCTGCCACTCATCTTGTCAAAAGCATACCCTTTATAGTACCAAAAAGAAATTTCAGGGCATATGACACTAGTACGCTGATTTAGATTACATTGTATAAGGTTTAACGCAGACTAATACGAACAAACAATGAATTAACATCTTCTTGTCAAAAGAATACACTTTGTAGTACCAAATAGAAATTTCGGGACGTAACACTACATACAATTATACTGGCTTAGAGTATGCTGTATAAGATTTTTTTTGATAATGTATGCTGTATAAGATTTTAATATATAAACAAATACAAACAATCAATCAGACTCCAATTCTACAATCCTTCGTTGGGTCACTGTGACGTGGAGATGCACGCCAGGGCAGTTGGAGGAGCTCGTCAATTTAAACCCCTAGAGCCACTATAAAAGACTATATATCATCCATGTAGGGTCAAAATACAGCCCGTACCGGTTCTAATAACGATAGGTAACTAAACTAGCTTATAAATGCATAAGTATAGGTAATATCATAATTCCATACTTAAATCCATAGTATAATTGATGGAAACATGAAAATACCTAACTAATAATGGTTTGGTTCGCCCTTATCTCTTCATTGTGCAACTCTAAAAAAAGATATAATCAATTAATTTTTATAATTAATTAATCATTGGAATTTCTACTATATCGGAAAGAGAACATTAAAATAGCACTTAAATTTGAGAATGTGCTATTACCAAGCTTCAGTCGGTCTTCTTCGATTGCAATTGGCAATGAACTGAGCCATAGAGAGCAGAGTCGCAGAGGCAAGAACACAATACACACTTGCACAGACTCACAGTCAGTCAGTCTTTCTTTCTTTGTCTCTTGAACCCCCTCTGTCCTTTTTTTTGTACTTCACTTTATTTTATTGTACTCACTTTTAAGCTCTTTTTAATAAATCACCAGTAGGGGTGCTCCCCTCCTGTTCAACGTCAGAAAAACAATCAGTCAGTCTGTCTCACAGAGACAGAGGCACGGACAGAGCGGAAGGGACTTCATGTCAATTGGGCCAGTAGCTGGGCCAAATGTTGCTGCCTAGCCCAACTGCCGAAGCAATAGGCAAGAAGCTTCTTGGGTTCTCGGCTTCTCGTTCGTCACGGCATCGGCATCGGCGGCTATCGGTCCAGACGGCCGCGCCAAGCCTGAGCGCTGCGGGTGAGGAGGGTCTAGCGCCGCCGGCCGCCCCACCTTGCTGTAGCGGTGGGTCCGCGTTCGCCCTGGGCGTGTACCCGCCGAACGCCATGAATCGGAACAGGAAGAGGAGAAAGAGGAAGAGGCGCGGCGATGAAAGGGCCGCCGCCTGTGTGCCCTCGCCCTCCTCCGCCTCCTTCGACCGCGACGTCTTCCCCGTCCTCCTCGCCGCCGTCCGAACCACCCGCCAAACTGGCAGCTCCTCCTCCCCGCCCGCTGCGCTCGCGGCCCGCCTCCTGCGCCGTGTGCTCTCCCGCTCGCCGCAGACGCTCTCCCCTCTCCCGAGGTCCCTCGTCGCGCTCCTCCCCCTCCTCCTCTCCTCCAGGTGGGTACGAGTGCGTACGTCACAAACTCCGCCTCCCTGCGCCTTGCATCCATGCCCTTCCGAGTGCTGATACTGTGCTGGAATGTGGATTGCAGCTGCTCTTCTGTCGCCGCGCTGAGCTGCGAGGTGCTCGGCGCGGCAGCGCTGCGGTCCATGGAGACCGGCGAGATGCTGGCGTCCGACACTGGCATTGCCAGCGGCCTGGCGAGGACGCTGGGAAGTAGAAGCCAGAGAGTGATTGAGGCTGCCTGTAATTCTATATTGGATCTCTCGGCGTCTTCAGTCGGTAGGGAGCGACTTGCAGGCTCACCTGTTCTGCCCAGGACATTGTAAGCATCCACATCACGTACCCTTTGTTTGGTTGTACTGTACTTGAAAGCACGTTTTGCTTGCTGTTTGATATGATTTCGTCTCTCAACTTAGACACAAAATCCAAATTTGTGTGTGCTAGAACCTTGATTTTTTGTTCATGTACTAGCTAGTTTTCGTATGGTAGTTCTGATTATGCATACTGCTACTAGACATGACACTTGACTAATAAAATTCCTTGCATTAGCAAAAGTTAATTGAGCCATGTGGTATACCTTAAGCTACTGACAACGAATTATATTGTAAGTGCATGGTATATCATAGTCATAATCTGGTAAAGGTAGCCATTTCATCTGTAACTAGAAGGCAGCCATCACAATCTTTTTTTTCTATTGATGAAAGGGATGCATTATGTTTGTACTTTCTGAATGTGTTCTCAGCAGGTGAAAATGTGAAATTGACTTCTTGTAGGCATCTATTTTGTCAGGTGGAATCTGTTTATGGATTTGCACATAGCAGAAGCATTGAGTGCCCAGAAAGTCCTACAGAAGCAAATAAAATCCTGTGCTTGATCATTGACACAGTGGTGCTCCTGGTAAATTCTTGTAAGATTGACAATTTGCAGAATCTACATCAGGAGCTAGTAAGGAACGTTCTGTCTTTGTTGTACAAAATCTGGAAGAGAACTCAACTCTTGAGATCTTCAACTGATTGCAACAAATGGAAGAATAAACTTCAGAGTAAAGAATATGAGATGTCTGAAGCTATTTTCAGGCTTTCGATTGGTCTTGCTTCTCCAGCCTGCCCAGAGCCTGATGTGGTCAGGGAAAGTATTTTTGGCCAAACAGTGTCCGACTTTGAAACTTTTGTCCTGGCCTACTGGGAAAAGTCGCCTAATTTGTACAGGAGGAAACAAAGCACTCAAAAGGGTAGTCCTGTGTTTGCTGCACTGCACAGTACTTTTAATCTTGGAACAGCACCTGATCCTATCATTGAATCATTAATAAAGGGTCTTGTTTCTTGCCCCGCTATCGCTTCTGATGAACTTGGCATAAATTCATTTCTCCATGAGGTTCATGATTCCTTGGGTGATTCTGCAAAGTACAGGCAAGACATTAGAGTCATGAGAACACAAGATCCAAATGACCAAACCTCAAGTGGATGTGTGACAGAGGAGCATTTTTTCGATGATGGAACAGTCTTCATAGATGAAGATGCATTCATCGAAAAATGTAAGCATGCCTTTAAGAATGGTTATTCGATTGCCTTGCGTGGCATGGAGTTCCGGTCTGAAAAGGTTGCTGCTATAGCTTCTGCACTGGCTGATCTATTTGGGCAGCCTTCTGTAGGAGCCAACATATACTTCTCACCTGCAAGATCTCAAGGCCTGGCCCGACACTATGACGATCACTGTGTACTTGTTTGGCAGCTACTTGGTAGCAAGAAATGGATGATTTGGCCTAATCAAAAGCCATTTTTGCCTAGACTATATGAACCTTTTGACCCTTTAGATGGCACTTTATATGAGAACAGTGGAAGAGTGGAGGTTTTGCTTGAAGGGGACATGATGTACATCCCCAGAGGTTATGTTCACGAGGCTCGCACTGATGTCGGTGGATCAGAGGTGAATGCATATGCTGATTACTCACTCCATTTGACCCTTGCTATTGAGGTCGAGCCACCCTTTGAGTAAGTATTCTTTGTATTTAATATGGAATTCTTGCTGTGCATGTCTAGAGATTCTGCTTCTAAAGTCTAAACATTACCTTTGCTGCAGGTGGGAAGGTTTTGCACATATCGCCCTTCATTGTTGGACAGAGAAGCAGCAGCTTAGAGATTCTCAACTTGTCGAGTTCAAGGGAAAGTAGAAACTTCCTTATCTGCTATTGTGCTGCATGTGGCCATCAGGTTGCTCTCAGACAGTGATCCTATTTTCAGGAAGGCGTGCATGGTTGCGGCAAAGTTTGGACCATCCAGTTCCTGTACAACGACTCACTTGAAGGCTTTTCGAAGCAACCAGAGGTCAACTTTCGATGAGATACTGAGGAAGATCGATCAGAACTGCAGCATCAAGGAAGCACTGAAGCGCATCACGTTGGCAGTGAAAGAGCGAGACGACGAAGCCTTCCAGTGGATGAGCTGGCTGCGCACCACCTGCCTCAGCAAGGAGTTGACATAATCGATTTCTGCAATATTTTCGGAGCCCTCGAAGAGCTGCTTGAGGCGTTCAACTCTAACCCTGACCAGGCCCTGGATGGCTTCACAGCCTTCAAGTCAGGGTTTTGCCAGCGCGTCGTGTACGAGGACGCACGCGAGACCTTTGAGACTTTGCTTGAGATGTACAGGACGACTAGGACTCAGTACATGAGGGGAATGCTGGCGTTGCACGGTGCAGGTGCACACGTGAGCTGAGCCGTGGAGAATGAGAAGTTTTTTTTCCCGTGGTGTTTGGCTAGTCTTTTTTCCTAGCGAGAAAAACCTGACCAGAGTGCTGGACGCTTGTACGGTTGGAGTACCACACTGTATCGTTTGATGGTGCTTTAGTGCTGGTCAGATTGAAGCCACTGGCATCGTTTTGTGGTTTCGTCAATCAGTTTTCAATTCAGCACAGTCTTGCCCCTGTCCAGCTCTGGACGTTTCTTCCGTCTTTCATGAGCACTGCCACTGCCAGTAAAGTAGTCACTGTTCTGTGCTATTGTCATGTTGTTTGTCAGCAAAGAATTGCTAGTGGTAGCGACTTGAGATATCCGCTCTGCTGAAGTCGCCACTTGTATATGTACTAGTCATTTGCGCGCGCCCATGGGCGCGAGTAATGATCAAACACATTTTTTTTGAACAAACAGTGAACAATAAAACAGGCAGCACATATTACATGGGACATGGAGGTTGTCCAGACAGCATCTAAATGCTCTAGGAGGTAAAGCCACGGTGGGATGATAGGTGTCTTACATAATTATACATAAAAGTGCCAGGGCCAGGTTGGCAATGAAATATAGTTTGAGAGGCAGTCTAATACAACATGCTAGACGTGGTTAAAACCATAGCAGCGCATGCTTAGATAGAAGACCGAAGGAAGGGGCGCCAACTTTACCGATCTTGGCAGCTTCAGTTGAGGTGCCAGCTCCGATCTGACTCAAAGCTACGAGCGGGTAAATAATATGAGAGTTTGCATGTATAGATGTTAGTGTGTATCATGTTAGGGGAAGTGCACAGCTAGAAAAGCAGAGGTGTAGCTGCTGATGTACCTCGTGGCAGGTAGAAAGGCTCGTCAGAGGAAACGCTACAGGAGGAAGAGCTGCTGTCCGATGCATATCCGTGGTATCCTGCACGTTCAAGCCTTCTATTGGCTGCAAGTCATACATAAGCATTATGACTAAACCGCTAAGACACCAAACGCTTAATGTGTTATGAATAGTACCTCTATGCTGCCAAGCATAGGCTTCTTGAAGCACTTCCCTGTCGTAGCCAAGTTCCTCGGCTAATTCAAATAGTGGATGAAACAACGGTGAAGATAAGGCAATAGAAAAAGGCAGTAATGAAATATGGTGTCAGTGCTATCAAAGGTGGAATATATGATTATCACCTGTGTCAAAGGATGCGACGGAACCAGCTGAGCCAAAGTTAGCTGGATTGGCATGGACCTCGTTCTCTACAAATGCTGGTGCCTCGGAATAGTTGTAGGTTGCTATCGTGACAGGAAACACCACGTTGGTCACCCCGTGCGGGCTGTGTATTGTAAACCGACCGAGTCTTTGTTGAGTGCGTATGCATCGACACAGCATACGCCTTTAGACTCATTGAAGTGAAAAACCATTGAGCATCCTTGGCCACCCTCCCACCATGTGATCCTCGACGCCGGCCGCCATGGCCGAGGCCGTCCACTACAAGGGCAGCCGGACGAGAGAGATGGAGAGCCTTTCCCCCCACCTAGCCTCTGCCCCAACCCAGCCAGCCCGCCGCCCGTCGCCCAGGTGCCGCCGGCCACCCACCACACCAACCCCTCCAGGCCGCCGAACGCCACCCAGGCGCCGCCGGCCACCCACCCCTCCTTGGCCGCTCCGGAAGGTAGCGGACCCGCCACCCTCTCACCTCACGTAGTGCCCTTCTTCCCCTCCGACACCCCAGGAAGATCCAAGGCCATGCGGTGGTCCTTGGAATCTGACTATTCCAACTTCTCGGACTCCGACGCTAAGTCCGCGTAGCCGTCGCGACCCTCCTATCTCGAGGTCGTCCGCCGGGGCTCTCCGGCACGGGCAGACATGGAGACAGGGACAAGCGCCCTGCCGCACGCCTGCGCCGTCGCAGAGCAGACGACGGAGATCCCGCAGGAGGAGGAACGGCGCCGCCCGCCACATTGCAAGCGAGGGAAGCGCTAGAGGAGACCTCGGAAGCCTCGGCAGCCAGCACCCATGGCTGACCTGCCTCAGGAGTGGCGGCGCATCCCGGCCACGCAGCGGTTGGGAAGGCGCGTCGACAACCTCGGTCGCGACATCGGCCGGGGGCCTGCTACCCAGCGACTGGGACGACGCATCCACAACGACCGGGCACCAGTGCACAACCGCCTTGGCCCTCGAGTCCTGCCACGGGGTCACCGTCGGATCTCGTCGCCGGACGCAGACGGTTGGAGGGAGGTGCTCCCCCGAGCCAACAACGACAACGACGGCACTGCGTCGACCGCGAGGAACACACCCCCTCCCCGTCCTCAGCATCGTCGGCGAAAGATCCCCGACGAGATGCGGGACAAATGCCTGAACTGCCTCTCCCCCAACCATCGGATCGCCAGCTGCCGCCGCCCGCTGCGATGCCTCCGCTGCCACGGATACCATCACTTCGCCAGAGACTGCAAGAGGCCAAGGTATCCGGCCAACGGCGGAAGACGCAGCGCTGCGCCGGACCGCTTCGTCAGGGCGCGGTGGGGTCCAAACAGCGCCGACACCTCTGAGGCGGGTGGCGCAGCGACGCCAAACAACCTAACGACCGATGACACCCCGACGAGTTCCCAGGCCACCAGCACGACACCGCCCAACAGCCCGCCGTAGGCATCCGCTGGCAGTCCGGTGCCCATGGATCGAGACCCGCTGCCGCCCGGGTACCCCGAGGAGTGGCAGTGGGAAAGCACGTGCATCATTCAGCGCAGCGCAACCATTGACGAGGCCGAGGCAGGGTTGCCTTTCGCCATCACCGCCATGCCCGCGGATGCGACCTGCGATGTCTCCACCGCCAACGCCACCCGTGCGCTGTGCACCATCCAGGGCGTCGAAGAGGGCTCCTCCTTCTCCGTCACGTCGTTCTACCCCGAGCACTTCGTCGTTCAGTGCAGATCGCAAGTAGCCCGGGACTGAATCCTGGGGGCATCCCCGGTGCCCGTCCCCAGCACGTGGCTCGTGCTTCGCCCATGGACGCGGCTCTCCCACGGCGTGACTGGGACAATGAAATTCAAGGTGGCAATCGAGCTCGAAAGTATTCCACCCCATGCTTGGGCTGAGGACATGGTGGCGAAGATTCTTGCGCCGAGCTGCTGGATCCACACCGTCGACGAGCAATAGTTGTCCAAGGTGGATCTTTCAGCGTTCAAGTTATCGGCCTAGACATGCGACCCCAGGGCCATCCCCAAGGTGGTCTGGCTCCACATCGCCGAGAACGAGATCATCCATGTCGGCGCCGCGGCCAACCCCACCTTCGGCAACCTGCCGCCGTACCTAAGGACGAAGGACGTCCTCAGCTACCGGGTGCTCGTGCACTTACGCCACGTCACGGACTTCGACCCGAACAACCCTTCCCCATCACCATCGCCGCCGGAGTCGGATGACGGCAACAGGGGCCACGACGGGAACCCTGACCGCCATCACTTCTCCCGGGGGAACGGCAACGCGCATTCAGGGATTCCAGTGCCACCGGGGAACCGTCGACGGGGAGGAGCCGACCGTCAACAACGAAAGCGGTGCGTTCATCGGTCCTAACATCAGCGGGCCTCACCTATCCTTTCAGGATTTTTTTTTAATTTTAACCTTTTTTCGAAACTAATTTTAAATCTAACACTCTCAGTTTTTTTAAATTAACACTTTTGGCCGCGCCTATTGCCCTGGCGTGGCCAAATGCCTGTGCCACGCCAGACGTGGCGGCGACCAGGAGCGCTGATCGCTGATGGGGCAGGGCCTGCCGCGCCACCAATCTTGACGCGGCAGTGCTGCGCCAGGGGTCATGGCGCGTCTGGGCCAAATAAAACCCCGTGGCCGAGCCCCCGGCCGCTCGCACCCCTGCCCGCCCGCCCACGCTGCCAGCCAACCGACGCGCCCCGTCGCCGGCCATCGCCCGCCTCCAGCGCCCGCGCCCACGCCGTGCTCGCCCGCGCCCTCGCCGGCCGTGCCCGGCCACTCGGGCGGCCCACGCCCTCGCAGCACCCGCGCCGACCGCGCCATGAACCCCAGCGCGTCAAGGCCGCCCGCTCCTAAGGTACCTCCCTCTCGGTTTAATGTTATTATGATTATTATTGTTTTAGGATAATTAGTTTGTGATATACGTATGTAGTTTCTAGGTTTTAGGTTTAGGGATTGATTATGTATTTATTATTTTGTTTGTAGTTATTTATTTAGTTAGGGATTGTATCGAGCCGGTCGAGGGATCGTATTCCATTCGAACGTTTCGATCGTGGGTTCATCCCGCCGTGGCCGTAACGCTGAGCGTAAGTGGCTCCCTCGCTTCTTAGTTAGCTTTGTCGTACTATGATCTCTAGCCTCTATCCACGTCCCAAGCACATGACCATGGGGCTTTACCTCTTTTGCGCGCTAGTTTATCCTAGCCTTGTGCCGATTTATTTTGGGTTAGAGTGAATATTTTACTTTGCAATGCTATATAATGTTAATTTGAATTTTGTTAATTTGAGTACTCTAACGTTTTGTTTATCAATTTATAACAGGATGACCCATCCCATGCAACACCCGTTGTACCCCATTCTTGAGGTGGAGTACAACGACCAGCACCGAGCACACATCTTGAGTGAAAACGACGCAGAGGTGGCCTTGCCTCCTTTGAGGCCCCGCACGCACACCAGGGCGCACCAATGGGACGAGCGTTACGCGCTGTACATACGGCGTGTCAGCTTCCTCGAGCTTGTCCGTGTTGTCAACCGTGGTCTTCTGCCCCTTGACCCAACACTACTTACCGCAGCTATAGACATGT